AAACTCTGCTACATTCGCTAGGTGAGTCTGAGGTGAGTTCTTCGTTATGCGAAAGGTTATTCGTAGTGCGAGTTTGGGAACTGAATTTTTCATTGTGCGAAGGATTCTTCGTTGTGCGAACAACGCGATGACAACAATACCTGTTATGCACCAGAACTCAAAACAACCCAAAAGTCAACACGATTCACTTCCCCAATGCCCTTAAAACATCCCTAAATCATCCCTAAGGTCTTACGGCGATAAAGGCACAAAACCTACGGTTTATTAGGCCAATCCCGTATCATATTCACGCCCTAAATCACAAATTTCCCTACAATTACCCATACTCATTAGAATTACTCATTATCCTACAAAACCTGTTACGCACCAGAACTCAAAACAACCCAAAAGTCCACACGATTCACTTCCCCAATGCCCTCAAAACATCCCTAAATCATCCCTAAGGTCTTACGATGTTAAAGGCACAAAACCTACGGTTTATTAGGTCAATCCCGTATCATATTCACGCCCTAAATAAAAAATTTCCCTACAATTACCCGTACTTATTAGAATTACTCATTATCTAATATTCCTATCCCTTCAGGGTTAGACCATGTCAAATCAGAGTTTTGGCCACGAAGGCCTAATTTTCCCCTTTACCCCAATGAATTCCCACGGATAGATTCACAATAATAGATTTAGGCCACGAAGGTCAAATTCCTTTTTCTCATATTCACCCTTAAATCGACCTTAAATACATTGAATTCATACATTGAAAACAATGAAGGTAATACTCCTCATACCTTAATTGTCGACTCTAAGCCTTCTCAAATATTTCAAAAAACCTTTCGAACTTTTTGCCTCAAATCTTCATCCCTAGTTCTTCTCACGGTCTACCAAATGAATCATAATCCCATCATAATTACCTTTTTGTTAAACCTAGTCTTGAGCTTCACAATTGGGTTTTTCCCATATTAGCCTCACTAACTCCTCTCAATTGTCTAATTTGCCCTTCTTTCAATTATATTTATTTAAATTAATAATAATATTAATATATTCATATTATAATACTATCATTTAAATAAATAACCCAAAAATGCATAATTCTCAATAATCCACAACAACCACCAAAAATCACCAAAATGTGAATATTCTTATTTAAATAATTAAATAAATATTCCAACAAAATTTGGGGTGTTATAGTTAACTCCAGGTAACAACTCATCTATTGCAGATAACAACCCTTAATCATATAATAAACACATTGTGTTATAGATTTACTACAATTATGTTTCAACTTAAAATCATGAAGGACATATATGTTGCAATTTAAAACCATGAAGGACATGTTTGTTACCTTCTGCTAATCTGAAATGAAAGTAATATGTTTGCAAACTTCTGGCCCTCCCAAGTCACGAACTAACAGATCAAATAATCATGCCCGAGAGTCTTTAGACTCTACTTCAACTAAAGCCAATACAATGGGCAGCATTTCATCATTAGGGTATCTACCCACTGCTGCAAGAATCCAAACTCTATAATTGCCTTTGAGAAAATATCCATAAACTCCAATTATTGGTCTACAAATTGCAAAACTTCTCTTGCAAGCATCAATACACATATACAATCTATGAGAACTTGGTAGTAATGGTATGCTAGCATATTCTTCAGGTTGTTGCTAACAAGCTTCCCAATACCCACTTATAGTCATTAAACTTCTTAGGCATGACAAATGATGGGTATTTAACCTTCACATCCTCATATGAATATTCACTACTCATGTCATCCTCCCTTTTTAACTCTTCAGTTACATAGTCAGAATCTGACAACCCCTGACATACCTTTTTACCTGTCTTTATTTCTCTAATTCCAAAATCAATGATATCTTCATCACTTGATGCTACATCACTTATGAGGGAACTGCACTTCCTCCATCCACCCTTTTTTTCTTAGGTTTTCCCTTGTGGTTTTTGGAACTACCAACTGCCTTCTTTTTTGATGGTATCCCACCATTCCTCTTTCTATTTTAAGGTGTTCCATCTGGTAGTATTTCATCATTATATTGATCATTTTGGCCAGCAATAAAACCTCCTTCTCCTACCATGACTTCATCAAATTAATCATTTAAAACCTCATCATATGAGTCATCAAAATTGCGCCATAATGCATTGTCATCAGTGTTATGTTAGGCCCCAGGTCGGTCATCAAGTTGGGAATTATAAGCACCCTCAAGCTGGTCATTAGAAATAACATCAGGTTGGGCCACAAGTTGGGCCTCAACTTGGTCCTTAGGTTGGGCATTACAAGCATCCTCAGGTTGGTCATTAGAAACATCCTCAGATTGAGCATCAGGTTATTCATTATAAACATCCTCATATCGGTCATTGAAAACTAAATCAGGCTGGGCATTGGAAACATCCCTAGGTTGTGCATTACAATCATTATCAAGTTGGGGATTGGAGTTACTAGGTAGGGCAACTACTAAATCAGGTTGTTCAATATGGTGGACTATGTATATGTTAACATTTTCATTAGTCTTGGACCAATTTAGTGCTTCTATTGCACCAAGGTCATCTTCTAGCGCCTTCAGTAATCCATCAAAGTCATACCAAATTTTAAGAACTCCTAGATACTTCATCTCTTTAACAATCCATTTTTTTCAAAGTAACTCCATCTATCAGCATCACACTTCCAGTTTGATACTTCACCTCCTACATATTTGTCATCAACAAAATATGCCCCGTGATGAAAGTTAGCATAAAATTCATCCATAACTATTTTGACCCGTTTACATCAAAAACATACATTCCCAACAAGCAAATAAGCAACAAACCCTAAAATGAACACTACCATTACTAATATCAACAACAGACCCACAGTTACATTAACCTAAAATCTAACACACAAGATTGGTGGAGAGTTCCATTTTCAAAAACTAAACATAAAATGATAACTGCAATCAATGACTTTAAATATAACGAAACGTACCTCAACTTCACGGTTTCGTCACCTTCAATGACTTCGTCTCCAACTGCATTTTGCTTCTTCCTTACTCATTGTGTTTTTCTTCTACCTCAGTCACCTAAATTAGGATTGTGTAATCTAATTTTGGGATTATATCGTCTTAAGTATTATAGAATAAGATAAGCACATATTCAACAATGTTAAATGACACATCAACGCTGTTACTGCCACATAAATTTTTTTGGAACGAAGTTTATAAAAAAAAAGGTAAATTGTGCACACGTTAGTTAACATAAAGGACTAACTTGTAGCAAAAAAACATAAAAAACTGTCTTGTTACAATAACCTAACTTAAAGGATCCTGGGTATATTTTAGTCAAATTTATATTATTTTTTCAAATTAATTAACCAACTAATAAAATAAAAGGAAAACTAAAATAGAAAAAATAAAAAATAAATAAAAAACAAACACACTATAGGTGCATTAGTAACACGGGGGTAAAATAAAGCAAATGGAAAAAAATGGGGTCTAAGGCCTATTACTTACAAACAAACAGGCGGGGTGCATAAAGGAGATAAATGAGTGGTTTGCGCGCCTGGGCCCAAAAGAGGCCCAAGACAAAGTGTCTCACACCAATAAGGAGTGTGAAACTGAATTGAACTTTCCACCTTTGGCATTGCACTTTCTAAGGCCTATTAACTCCCTATAGCTCATCCATATACACATTGCACTTTCTCACACCTTTGGCAAAACCACCTAACCATTCCCTCGAATGATCCATCCATAGCCCACTCTCTCACTCTCTCTATAAGACCCATTATGTGTTCAATTTGACCCATCCTCACGCAAAACCTTCCACCTGACTAAAACATTATCATGATGAGAAATATTCATCATATTATTTGTTTTGATAGCCAAAACATTCTTCTTGGTACGATGCTTAACTTGATAAACTGGTAAAATTTGTCTACGGAAATCTTTATCATGTGTTTCCACGTTCCTCCAACGTCATAATGAGTGACACGCCGTTGCCCACATCATTGCTCGTATTCAATGATATCCAATGCTTAAGATTACCCAAAAAGAACCCCATGCATGACATTCTCATGCACCACATTCAACCAATTTGGCATTGCAAGCAGTCAGTCACGCAATACATGGATGATATCTTCAACAGTCCTACCACAATACTCACATCGGGATACCTAGTCCCATGCCAATCTTGTTGTAGTTTGTCAATAGTCTATCGTGATTCAACTACCAAATAAACTTCTTCTACATTAGTTAAATCTCACCAATACAAACTTTTGGAAGAATTGAAATACATTAGTTACAAAATCACTCAATCTTCTTCCGAGTAAAAGAAAAATAGAAACTATCTATTAAAAGAGAAAAAGCTAAAATCGTTAAAAATTATATAATTACACACAAAAAAAGTGACATTTAAAACCATAAAATCACAATATTCAAGATGAAAAATAAAATAAAAATAAACTAAACTTAAAATAAGTTAAAAATTGCCGCATCTAAAATATTATAGAGCTTACCCGATGTGTATTTTAATGAAAATTGCTATAATAGAAAGTTGGAGAAGAAAAATTTGTCATCTTTATTTTTTTGGATAGACACCATGTCATCCACTGTTCTATTTACTTGTCAAAAAGAAAAGAAAATAAATTATATTTTGAGTTCTAAACTAATAATTTAGAGTCATGTAACACATATTTTTGATAATTTTGATAATTTATATTATATTTAATATTTGTAAATTAATAATTAAAAAAAGTAAGAAAATAAACATTTGGAATTGTAGATTTAATAAAATTAGAAAAAGAAAAGGGTGCGAGTGAGGTAAATGAAAGAAAGACATTGAGATTGAGAAGAAGAAAGAAAAGGAAGAGATACGGTAGCATCTGATTTGTTCAAAATTCGTTGATATTCCTTCACCGTTACAATTTAGAAATAACAAAATAGAAAGAAAACTCTCGCATCTCTGAAATCTGAAATACAATTCTGAATCGCTTTAGAGAGAGAAACAAGTAATAAGAACGGTGATATGGAAGAAGGCCTAGTTTGCCAGTGGACCGTTATTAGATCTCTTTTGGCAATTCTTCAATGGTGGGCTTTCAATGTCACTGTCATTATTATCAACAAGTGGATCTTTCAGGTTTCTCTTAAATTTTCTCTCTTCATTTTACATCTAACCGATTTTTTTATTTTTTGAAATTCATATCTGAATTATGTTTATGATAAGATTCACCGCTTAATTTTAGCATTCTGAAGCTGTGAAGCATGGAGATGGTGCTAATTTAGCCGATTTGTAGCGTTTTGTGGTTTCGTTGATGTATCATTCTATCTATGCACTGATTGTTTCTCTAGATTAATTTGGTATTTTTGTGTTTCTTTTTTTGATTTTTTTTGTTGATAAGAGTGTGTATTTTTTGAATTTGATTTATTTATCGGGTGAGTTTTTATCTATGAAGCACGAACGCCACAAACACTAGTAATAATTTTAAAAAATGAATAAATTAAATGAAATTACAAGTGTTCGGTGTCCGTTTCGGACACCCTGACACTACATGCCTCTTTTGGTTCTTCAGAGGTTTTATATATTTTAATTAACTTTGTTGTTCCTTTTGAGCTACATTCAATGGTTGGTGAATGTTTTTAGATTCTTTTGTTTATTTTGTTATAAGAAATTTAAGAGTTAATTACAATATTCAAAGTTGTATAATGTAGATGTTGTGGACCAGGATATATTTTGTTTGTCCTTCAAATGTAATGAAGATATAAGACAAATTAAAATGTTAAAACTATTAGCTTGTAGTTTAGGTAAGTGTCTGTCTTTCATCCCATGGAGTTTGGCCATTCGGCAGTTAGGAAAGATCCAAGATCCTTTGATATTATAGTTTTGTGATATTCCAAGCTAGGTCTCGTAGTAATTGTTTCATTATGACTTTGATTTGTGGAATAAAGCTTTTAATCATGGCCTCAAATGATTTTGATCACTGAGATTACTTAGATCTTTTTGTTCTTGTTCCATTTGTAAGGAAAAAGGTTTATCAATCTTCATCACTTTTTCCACATGTCTATTTGGTTTCTTTCTTCCTCACCTTGGCCCCTCAATTGTCATGTTAAGAACTTAAATGGGTTATAATCTATGAAGCCCAGATGCGAAGTACGTGTGTGGTACGATACAAATACGCGAAATTTTCAAAAAATTTGAAATGCAGAATACGATATATGATTTAGATCTGTTAACATTTTTTTTATAAAAACATTGTATACATGTAGAATACTTGTAAAAAATGGACATTTCTTCATTAATATAATAACTAAATTACAATTTTAATAGTATATCTAAACCGTTATGTTAGAATATAAAAAAAAAACATCATTAAAAAACTCAAAACAAGTCTTGCTCTATGTAATAGCCAACAATTCAAAAGAATTTTTATTAGTTACTGTCTAATGGTAACAGATTTAGTCTCTTCTCCCCTATTTTCATCATCCATAAAAGCACGGCTTCTCTAAGTCTTGTTCATTAAGTAGTCCATCTTGTACATCTCCATTGATGTTCCATAAACTTGTCTTGTTTTTTATTTCCCTTCATCTTTCCTAGGATACGTATCTGCGTGTATCTGTGAAGTATCTCATATGTTTCTGGTAAATTTTAAACAAATAGTTATGAGACTTGTAGGATACGTATCCCCACGTATCTATGGGGGTATTGATATCCGATATGGATACTTCCCCAATTTTGAAGTATTGGGCCTTCATAGGTTAGAATGAATCGCCTTGCAATATTTAAAGTCAGTAGCCATCCAATAGGTATGGATGATAACAAAGCCTTTAAATTTAAAATTTTCTTCTTTCGCAGAAACTAGACTTCAAGTTTCCCCTATCAGTATCCTGTATCCACTTTATCTGCTCAGCCATTGGAGCATACGTGGTAATTAAAGTGCTGAAGCTTAAACCACTCATATCTGTTGACCCTCAAGATCGCTGGAAAAGAATCTTCCCTATGTCATTTGTGTTCTGCATTAACATAGTTTTGGGAAATGTGAGCCTGCGGTACATTCCCGTTTCTTTCATGCAGACAATAAAGTCATTCACTCCTGCAACAACAGGTAATATCCATTAGTTGTTAGATAGCGGCTACCTGCTTTATGTAGTAATTTTAAGAACAATATCATCTGATCTTGGTGAAGTTGCACAGTTGTCTTGCAGTGGCTAGTATGGAGGAAATATTTTGACTGGCGTATTTGGGCTTCTCTCATACCCATTGTTGGAGGGATTCTTCTGACATCTATTACAGAGCTTAGTTTTAATATGTTGGGATTTTGTGCTGCCTTATTTGGCTGTTTGGCTACTTCCACAAAGACTATCCTTGCAGAGGCGCTGTTGCATGGTTACAAATTTGACAGGTACATAATTTATGCTTTTCCTTTTCTATTTGTACACTTCCCTCTCCTATTTCTTACATTCTGTTTGTTAGTAACGGCTGTTAAGAACTGTGTCAGTTACATTTCCCTCATTACATAGCTCCTATTCTTTCTCACATACCTTCTTAGTGAAGGGTCTCTTATCACTTTCTTTCCTTTCTTTATTTATCCTTTTTCTTAAAATTTCTTTGTAGATTTGTAGTGGTTGAGTCTGTAATGCCTTTTCCTTCTTGTGGATAATGTATTTTTGGATCCCTTTCTAGTTATTTTTAGAATATTATTTTTATGCGGGTGGAAATGAGGTTGCAGAACTAGGGTTAGAAACCATTATGTATTGAAGACAAGAAAATTTAAGTGCTGTTAAATTTGATTGCAGCACCTGCTACTGGCATGCAGCAACGATGAAACATGATAATATTTTAATTGTTTTCTTCTGGATTTTACACAAAAAATGGGGGCGTGGCTGATTTTGTTTCATGGCTCTATAAACTTGAACTAAAAGTTCCTTACTGTCACTCCTGATCCGTACCTGCGTGCTTACGTTAATTTAAGATTGCAGTTATTTATTCATAACAACCACTTACTAAAGTGCTTGGTGTTTTTGTTATATGATTAGATTAAAGTAGAGGAATATTTATGCTGTCTGGATATGACACTGTTCAATTAGCACATGCATATTAATTGGAGCAATAAGCACTAAATTAGCAGATATTTTTGTACATTTAAGTCATAAATCAGGTAGGTTGAAGCTTAGCAATCTTGGTGTAAAAGATTCCAGTCTATCTTGATGTTACCATTGGATGTAACTAAAAATATTTCCAACTAATCAAATTATATTTTCATATATTACTTTTTATTAATGTTGCCAACCATGTTTATGATGAGGTAGCTTTTACTTCACACTCAAGTCTCTAAAGCTTATGCCGGTGCTAATTGAGCTACAAGCTCAATGGCAGTGCTTGTGTTTATTTTCTCTTTCTCCAAATATTGTATATGGACTGATGTCTGGAATACTCTCTTAATTCCTCAACTAAATGGCCCTTTTTATGTCAATTAGCTTCCAAAAGTTTCAATGATTTCCAGAACTCAAGAATATGAAGTATGAACATCTTAACTACCGTAGGCTGTCTGTCAAAAAAATTCGGATCAAAATCCACTTAGGTGCCATGTTTTTAACATTTATTGTTTGTCTACTTTTATGCATTGATTTTAAAAAAATAAAAAATGTTTCCATTGTGCAAGTGATGATATTTATTACCCACTTTGTCTTAGATATGCTATACCTTGTTCTGTTCTGTGCTGGAATAGGTTTTGCTTTGTCATGATTTTTCTGCAGTATATAAACTAATTGTTCTTGTTTGGTATCTGTAGCATAAACACAGTTTATTACATGGCCCCTTTTGCAACCCTGATCATGGTATTACCTGCTATGTTACTTGAAGGCAACGGAATTCTTGAGTGGCTAAGTATTCACCCATATCCTTGGGCAGCCCTGATCATTATTTTCAGCTCCGGTGTTTTGGCATTCTGCCTTAACTTCTCTATTTTTTATGTGATTCACTCCACTACAGCTGTTACATTTAATGTTGCTGGAAACCTTAAGGTGAGATCAGTCCGGCAGATTCAAATCCACTATACTATTTGCTATTTGGTCTTACATTATGATTCTTTCATCATATTTGTGGTCAATTGGTTCATTTCATGTATATCATATTTGTGGTCAATTGGTTCATTTCATGCATATCACACACTGATGGTGTGCGTGAACAGTGCAACCAAACTGTGATGTCTTAACTCATTTTGCACATACCAATTAACAGTAATCATGCTATTTGTGCAGGTTGCAGTTGCTGTCCTTGTTTCTTGGCTGATATTTAGAAATCCAATTTCTTATATGAATGCGGTGGGATGTGCCATAACTCTTGTTGGATGTACATTCTATGGTTATGTCAGGCACTTGCTTTCCCAACAACCATCTGTTCCAGGAACTCCTCGGACGCCCAGGAGTAAGATGGAGTTGCTTCCTCTTGTAAATGATAAATTAGATGACAAGGTCTAATTGGTTTAGTTACTAGTGAGGTTTCTGTTGTTTGAAATTACAGTAATAGCTAAAGGTAAAAAAATATAAAAGAGACTTCAATTCGATTATTTATCTGTTAGATTTTCCACAGTTTCTAATACATATAGTTCTTTTTTGAGCCCTTCATCTCTCCTGTCCTTCCTGCAGGTTGGCTTGAGTTCACCATGATTGTTATCCCCCCATATTTATATTTTGTTTCTAAATATGACTGTGCAACCTACATCATACATGTGATGATAGCTAATGGTTATTATGTATTTATGTAAGTGATAATGAATTGAAAAACTTGCATTTAATGCACAAAGCTAACAATGAAGTTGACAACTCACTAAAATTCTTTTTTCTTTTGCTCATAATTACAAGTTAACTTGATTGCAGTTCCACGTGAAAATTGTGCATAACAGTGCATTGCAGGTTGTTCACCAGAATGTTCTGAATAAATTTTAAAAGTAGCATTTTTTTAGTTGACGAAACTATCAATTTCCCTAAATAAATAAAAACAATTAGTTTGTGGTCCTTATATTTGAAATTGATGTGTTCCTCTTTCCCATTTCTATATAAAATTAGGTAGTACAATAGTAGGAAGAATTATAAATGATTTCTTCTTGCCTGTGCCATGCGGTCCTGAATCTATAGCATGAATCTATAGCATTGGATGCTGGTATATATGATTTCATTGAAACAAATTTAGTTGTCTACCATTTCCTATGTGTAGGGTATAGTCATTCAAAAGTTGTAAAATTGAAGTAACCTTTACACTATGAAAAAGGGAGAATTGGTTTGCAAAAAGGAATGTAGGGTGTTCTTATCAAATGGTTCTAAAGAAAGACTGGATTCTCGGAGTACAAAGAAATTGATAGAGGGAGTTTCATAATGGGAAACAACAGAGTGCAAAGTTGAATTTAACTTGTCACCTCCTATAAAATTTCTGTTCAATATTAATTTTCGGTACAAATTAAATTTTCAGTATATTGGAATTTTCAGAAAGATACAAATAATATCGAAAATTCAAAATTTACAAAAGGACGGTCATACTAGCCTTGGATATTATATTTTTAATGTGGTTGAAAGACTATAAAATAAAAGCAGAAAAATTTTCAAGGAGATTTTAGAAAACAAGTGGAGTCAAGGGTGCTTGAAAAATCATATTTGTAGACTTATTAAATTACCTAGGCAGAAAAGGATAAATGGGAACAAGTGGATGCAAATTGCGAGATTAAGATTCAAGGGTTGTTTGAATTTGATCAAAGTTATTGATTAAAGTTTCAACTTGGTAGAGAGTAGCAATGTTGTTGATTGGTATCAACACGGTTTAAAGTTAAGGTGGAGATTGTTGTAAATGTGCATTAAAACTTTTGTTGAGAAGAGAAAGAAAACATATTTTGGAGATTGCATTTACCACGAAAACCGGACGAAAAGTCGGGGGAAAAAAGTGGTCGGTGAATAGTGTTACCCGTACGGATGAATAGTGATGTTCGCACGGATGAATAGTGGGTCCATACGATGAATAGTGTTTTTGAATTTTCAAGAATTTTCGACTCGGTCCATGGATTGATGTGATTTTGATTTTTTCTTGCCTTATTCTATTATATTATATGTGTATGAATTATTATTGCTAAAAACCATTTATTTTGGTTGTTATTATTCTTTGTCTCACAAATTAATATTTGAATTTTATCGTAATTCACAGCAATATCAAATGTTTATATATCACTTATGTATATAATTATTTTATGATTAAATAAATATGAAACTATTTTTAACTAGAGAATTTATTTTATATAAATATATTTTGTATTCATAATGTATTGATTATTCTATTTAAATGTACCACAAACTCAAATAACATATCAACTATGGATATCCCTCGCGTACTTAATTCTTTGAGAGTTATGTATCAAATACCAAAACGAATTGCAAACTTTATGACTATGCTTCATATATATATATATATATATATATATATATATATATATATATATATATATATATATATATATATATATATATATATATATATATATATATATATATATATATATATATATATATATATATATATATATATATATATATATATATATATATATATATATTTCACCACCAACTCCTTTCTATGCAGATATTTACAAACCAATACATAAATCCTCTTCCCTAATTTCAAACAACCCAATTTCTCATATGTCTAAAAAATGCTAAAAAATGCAATCATCATTGAACAACTCAACTGTCACATACCTGAATATCAAACAAGTCCAAGAGACTACATCTTTAACAAGCATATAACATCAAACACCTTATCAGTATCTATAGTGTCCCCCCACAAATGCTATAAAATTTAGTAGCTAACGTATGAAATTGTCTAACCTCTAAAATACCAGAAAACTTAGTGCATGATTTCAAAACTGCTAGGGCAATATACACATTAGTCATAAACCCACAAATGAATATCAATGATATGTTTACCAAAAAAGTTTTGGAGCTTTTGGGACAATAAAGTCATTGGTAGCAAAGGTAGAAATCAAAACCTGAGCATGGATTTGCTTGAAGGATCTCAAATCATTGCACCTCTCAATTAAACTCAAGAGAACCCATTTCAGAGAATGTCTATCGTTATTCATGTCATTAGCCAAAATCTCGAAATTAAACCGGAAAATTCAAATATATGACATCTAATGCATCATTTCAAGAACCCATTGATATATTATTTTTTATAGGTAAATATAATTTTTTTACCCAAATACCCCACATTTAAAAAAAAATCCCAAAATAACTCACTTTTCAGTTTATTTCCCAAAGTACCACAGTTTGTGGGTGTGTTTGAGTGCTAGCGCCAACTCAATTGGTGATTGCTCATTGGGCTTAAGAGGTGTTGCCAATTAGATTGGAGATACCATATGGTGTTTCCAATCCAATTGGCGACAAAGTATTAAAAATTGAATGGTGTCGTCAATTCATTTGGAGACATGGTGCAATCATACATTTTTTAACATCAATAATTAACGTTGATATTTAACTAAAAAAATATTACATAAATTAATGATGATGACCAGTTTGGTCAGACCATCGGTTCTACACCCTCTAGTCACCCTTACTCGTTACTCTCATTGCCCTCGTTGTTGATTCATTCCAGGTGTTGGAGGATTTGAGGTCTCAGGAACATCTCTAGCAGAATCCCTAAGAATTTCTTGCATTTATAGGAAGTCTTGTATGTGGAAGCTGAGTTCGCGACCCATGACATAGTAGTTGAGATGTGATGAAGGGGTCATTGGTATACGACCTAGACAATTGAAGGGGGACATTGGTATGAAGGATTAGTTGGTGAAAGGTTAAAATGATAGTGGTGTTTGAAAGACATATGGTTGTTGTGATGTTTGTGTTTGTCGGTTATGGTGTGATGTTTGTGTGTGTCAATTATGGTGTGATGTTTAAGCGTTTTGGCTATGATACGATGTTTGGGCGTTTTGGCTATACCACGATGCTTGGGTGTTTTGGTTATATCTTGATGTTGTGTTTGAGGCATATGCATTTTAGGTGTCTTGATAATAGTAATTTTTTTGGAGATGGTATGGGGGACACTCTTGATATTGTAGTTTGGTGTCTGGCATGTTTGAATTGTAGGTTTATGTGTTTGTGGGTCGATAACTCGCACCCTTGTCATTCTTGTCATTTTTAACTTGCACCCACCTACGCAGTGCATCAAGTATCTCAATACTTTGAATTTTTTCGCCTTCAGGTATGTCTCCGTCTAATCAACGATTCAACTCCCTCTATAGTTACTTGAAACTTTGAATGTTCTAGAAGAGCATCTCCATTAGAGGTTTCTCTCTCGAATAAATCACTTTCTCGTAGCAGCGATGATACATATTATCACTAATACAAGAATATGAGAAGAGATGTGAAAATAATTGATCACACCACCTCCATTTATAATAAAATTACACCTTGCACCCTGTCTCCAAATGAATTAGTGACAACATTCAAATTTAACACACCGCCTCTAATTGGATTGGAGACATCATGTGGTGTCTCCAATCCAATTGGTGACACCCCTTTATCTTACAAAGCAGTCGCCAATTCATATGGAGATAACACTCTATGACTCCTCAAAAGTGGGGTATTTTAGCAAATAAATTAAAACATGGTTTATTTTAAGATTTTTTTTAAAAAAAAAAAAGGGTATTTAGATAAAAAAAAATTCTATAATTGACGATACCTTTTAGGCGAACGAGGGTAGCTCAGGTGGTATGAGCGAAATACAAGTTAGAAGCATTACTTTTTATTTAGTGATCTTGATGGCTGATCAGAACCTGAAGTGAGCTAGAGAAAATCTCCTGTGATGATGGGTGTGAGAGAGGAGGAGGGGGTGTACCTTCGAGGCACTCCGATGCTACAGTAAGAATCAGGAAAAAGAAGACAAGTACATAATATGTGTGTATCAGGGTGAATATTGAATACCTGACCCTCTCAAATGAGAGTGTTATTATAGTGCCCCCAACGCTTGGCCATTGGTCCCTATTTTTAGGGCGAGATAACTGTTTCCTGAAGAATAAGTAACTTCCAGAACTAGCCATTGGAACGGGAAGAGGTGCCCATAACTAGCTGTTGCTACGAGCAGAGGCGCAGTTACGAGTACATGCATCTTGAATGTTTTTGGATGGTGGAACCGTGCGTGATGGACAAGTCTTGCCGAGGAGGAGTGTTGGCCTAGGGGTAAACCGATCAACCTCCCCTGTTGGATGGGCAGAAAGGTAAATGCTTTCCTCCACTTAGATGGAGTTAGACAATTTGGCCGTTCTGGGAGCAGAGGTGGATTGGGCAATGCCTAGCCATTGGAAAAGTCCGTAATAGTATCCCCTTAATTCATTGCTTTCGAGCATGAGAGTGATGACTTAAAGATAATTCATGTTTCGGGAAAGGTCATCATTAGCCGCAAGGATGAGACCGGGACCTTGTGCTCGAGGAAATTTGTGCTCGGG